TGGCGGGCTGTCCAGGCACGTCCGCGCCCACGCTGCGCAGCATTCGTCCAACCTGAAGGGGGCCTCGTCCGCAGTGGCGCACGGCTAGCTGCCAAAGCGGAGGGATGGATCGATCTTGGACTCGAAGGCACCGAGGGCCGCGGCCAAGGGCAGCAGACCGCTGGAGACCAGCCCCGCCAGGGTGGCACACTGCACGGATGCCGCCGCAGGCGGGAGACCAGCAGGCGCTCCAGGTACAGGTTCCCGTTCCACTGCAGGCCGAGCCACTTGTGAAACGAGGGCAGCTGTTTGAGTGTGTTGCAGGCCGCGCAGCAGGAGGACCACTGGCGGGGCACCTGCTCCTGCGGCTCGAGCGCGCTCGCCGCCGTGGACCAGGACGGTATGTTAGAAGGCTTGGTGTGCGGGGAAGTCTTCTGGTGAAAAGCCCACTCCACCATCACTGCCTGCGACTGCTGAGCGGCTCCGCGCGAGGACGCCAGCAGAGCGGGATCGGCCGCGTGGAGGACGACAGCTGACCACATCGGCGCGATAGCGTCCAGCGCTGCGAGAGTAGACGCCTCTGGGTCCACATCCACAGCCAGCTCCCGGGAGGAGGGGAGCGCCTGGTTATCCTGCGGTGCCTGTAATAGCGCAGCCGTTGCCCCTTTCGTGGGCGCGCCCGCGCCTAGCCATCTATCATCCGCCCCGGCGGGGAAGGTATGTTATGCACACCCCGCAGCCTGCTGCTCGCAGCATCTCCGCCAGGGAGTCCATGCGCACCGGGAACGTGAGGGGGCCAATCGTGCCGCCTTCTGCTATCGCCTGGCTGCTGTCTACTGCCTGGACCCTACTGTGGTTCACGTGGACGCAATCCGTTTCACGTCACAGATGTACCCACTCTGCCCAGGCGTGATTTTAGATCACAGCTCCGGGCGTACCCGGAAAAGGTTTACGACCTCCTGGAAAAAGGCAAGGTGGGCCTTGACCAACATCAGCCAGAACGATGCTCCCTTGTCAACGGGGCCGTCCACGCCTACACGTCGTTCCTTTCTAATCGCGCTGATGTCTGATTGTGCTCGTTTCTAATTGTTCCTGGCCCCCCTAGCGGCCAGGAAGAGGCCCAGCATAGAACAATTAGAAATGGAAGGATCTTGGCCCCCAGAAAATCGAAGACCTCTCGAAGGATGAGGAGGAGGAGGAGGAGGAGGAGCAGGAGGAGGAGGAGGAGAAGGAGGAGGAGGAGGGGGAGGAGGAGCAAGGTGGAGGAGGAGGAAGGGGAGGTAGGAGGAGGCGAGGAGGGAGGAGGAGGGAGGAGAATGGAGGTTTACGATCTCATGGAAAAAGGCAAGGTGGGCCTTGACCAAGATCAGCTGGAACGATGCTCTCTTGTCAACGGGGCCGTCCATGTCTGGGGGCACTTTGCAGCTGGCCCCCTCGAGTCCCGCGGGCGGAGCGCCAGACCGCGCGGCCCCGCGAGCCCTGGGAGGAGCAAGACCCGATTGGTTCTGAGGCAAGCGCCTCCTGGGAGCACCCTCCTCCTCCCTCTCCCCCTCCTCCTCCTCGCTCCGCCTCCTCCTCCGCCTCCTCCTCCCTCCTCCTCCTCTCCTCTCCTCCTCTCCCTCACTCCTCCTCCTCCTCCTCCTCCTCCTCCTCCGCCTCCCGCCTCCGCCTCCGCCTCCGCGCCTCCTCCTCCTCTCCTCCTCCTCCTCCTCCTCCTCGCTCCCCCTCTCCTCCTCCCCCTCCTCCCTTCCCCTCCGCCCCCGTCCTCCTCCTCCTCCCCTCCTCCTCCTCCTCCTTCCTTCCTCCCCCTCGTGAGTCCCTCCTCCTCCTCCTCTCCTCCTCCTCCTCTCCCCCCTCCTCCTCCTCCTCCTCCTCCTCCTCCTCCGCCTCCGCCTCCGCCTCCGCCTCCGCCTCCGCCTCCGCCTCCGCCTCCTCTGCACTGCACTGCACTGGTGTGGCCACGCATGTCAATGCCACGCGAGCCTAAACTAACATACAACAGCAACGATCTAAGGAGACTTAGAAATGCTCCGAAGAGTCCGAATCCTCAGCGCTGGTCGGCCCGCTCGCTTTGCGACGCGACGCCTCCAAACGCTGGGCACGGGTCGCCCATGCTTCTGCCATCTCTTGGGTCAGCCCAAACCTGGCGAGAAGCTCCAAGCGCCCCCACGAACAACCACCGACCCCAGCCTGGAGCTCGCCGTCTTGGGCCCCCCGAGAGACGAGACTCGGCGCCCTGCGGGAAACCAGACAAGCCAAGTCTTGTCCAGTGGCTTCCGCAATGGGTCCGATTATCCACCCCGCGTACTGCGGGGCCCAGCCAGGAAACTGCCCATTAGCCGCCCTGTTCTGCTGCCTCTTCATGGCCGGCGTCGGATCGCGGCAGGGCTTTATTAAGCTCTGCACACCTCCCCAAGCGCATCCCCCACAAGACGTGCAGATAGCCACTCTGCTCCCCGTCAACACCGGCTGACCGTCAGCCTGGTACACAGAGGCCATCTTGATACAATGCCCCTGGAGCTGCACAAGCAGCTCGAGCTCAGGGTCCGCTTGGGGCGACTCGGCAGAGAACAAAAACCGATCCATGCCGACCGAAGCTGCAGAGGATCTTAAATCCAGATCTTGAGCGGGAGGAGGCTTGGGGGAGGAGCGTACGGAGGGATCTGATCGGCATCCAGCCAACCCCTATCGCCCCTCAAGATTTCCTGCTGCGCCGCCCACCTACCAGCCTCGACTGTCAGCAAGTGCAGCCGTGCCAAATCTCTGGCAGCAGCAGCCGTAGACGGATGACATCCCGCCCCCTGCTTCGCAAACGAATCGGCCGACTCATTCGCGGAACGCTCCCAGGCCGTGGTACGGCCTGCTTCTACATCGGTTTGCGTGCAATGTGCTTTCGTCTTGTGCGCACGCAGCATGCCGTCATCGTCAAAAACGTGCCACACGCGTTGCCACAAATGCGCGTTCGAGCACTGCGAGGAAACCGAAAAACATGATCATTCAAGCACTGTACGGTTGAGGCACAATCGACATAAACCTCTACAGGCCCGAAGGCGCAAGAAGTAAGCATGAAAATCGCATAGTCTTCAGCGTCGTGCGAAGATTGCTGCGGACAGATATCTGCGGGGACCGCCCCATAAGCAGCAGAAATCGTACGACAAAAACGGTCTACCATCACCAGCGCCCAACCCGCCCTCCTACGAAGCGGAATCTCCGGGTGAAATGCGCTCCCATCCGAAAAAATGACGCCGGTCATCCAGCCGGCCGCCGGTCGATTAACCCAGTGTATGCCAGCATCAGTGGACAGCAAAAAGCTTCGGAGGCAAATCACGGGGATCAGGAAAAATACCACATGCAAACTTGGTTAAATCCTGTCCTAAATCATGCGCGGTTCGAGTCGTCCGCAAAAGCAGATCGGAACAATAGTGCCTACGATCGGGCGCCCACGCGGCGCACCGGAACCTGCGATGAAAAAGCGTGCCCTTCTCTTCACCGCATAGCCGGCAGATGTTGGAGTTCGCCAGCTGGTGCTGGTGCAAGCGATCCTGCGTCCAGAACTCCATCGACACGAGCCCACGCAAAGTGTGCATGTGTCGCTCCGTCCACCCCTCCGAAGGCTTCCTATCCAAGAGCGCGCGGAGAGGCTCCCAGAAAATGGGCCGCAACCATGACGAGGAGGAGCTCCTCGTAGACAGCGCCTTCACGTCGGAGGTGTCGAGGGCAGCCTGCTTCGCAAGCTCACGAACCTGGATCGGCGAAATCTGCAGAAAATCGATGTCCAGGCCCATGGCGGTGCGAACCAATCGACACGACAAGGGCCGCCAGCCGAGGTACTGGAAGGTCAGGGCGACAACGTGCGCGGGCGACGCGGCGTGAACCCACGGCTTCCTGGAGGCTCCCAGTTGGTCGGATGCCGCCGTGGAAACCTGCTGAAGCACTGACAATTTGGGGACCCCCTCCCAAACCGCCCTCGCCAATTGGAAAACCACATTCTAAGGCTCCCAACTTCGCGCTTCGCGCTGCGCGAAGCGCGAAGCGCGAATAACTTCGCGCTCTCGCGCCGCCCCCCAAGGGGGAGAAGAGGAGGACGAGGAGGAGGAGGAGAAGGAACGAGGACCGCGAAGCGCGAAGCGCGAATAACTTCGCGCCCTCGAGGGAGCCCTTGGTAAATGGGGAGCGGGTCCACCCCCCGACCCTCCTTGGACGACCGGAGTTTCAGCCCGAGGGCTGTGCTCCCCTTGTCCTTGTACAGGGACCGGACGGCTGCCAGCCGCAGACAATGAAGCTGGCGAGGCGGGATGCCCACCACGGCAGCCCCCCAGAGCGCGCCCGACTGCGGCCCAGCACGATGGACGTGAACGACCGAAGCCCCCGCCTTCCTGAGTCGCCGTAGGCGGCGCGCCTGCTTGAGGCACTTGCGCACGCGTTTGTTGGCCGTGGCAGTGCGGCGCAACCTAGTGGCGGCAACGTCGCAACCTAAGGAGCGGGCTGAAGCTTTCGGCGAAACACGGTGTCTGGCCCACCGCGAGCGCAGCATGTCCGACAGCTCCGCGCACGACGCCAAGAAGAAGGACTTCCCCACCGATAAGACGAGCTCCAGTCGCCGAAAATCGGAAATCAGTTTGTCCCCAACTTGGCCCAAATGCTCGTGCACGTGCTTCGCCGCCCCCAGCCCCTGCGCCGAAACATCATCGATCACGTTGCGAATGTAGACAGAAGGATGCGCCGCAGAAATATCCGAAAACAAGCGCCACAACAGAACCTTCACAAGCGTTGTCGCAAGTGAGCATCCGGCCAAAATGGTCCCATGCGCACAGAATATGTTCCCAATTGCGCTCTGAAAACAAATTGCCCTCGCGCCGGAGTGCAACCCGCAAGCCGCTCGCAGGAGCCGCAAATCGAAGCCCGTCGCCGCGCCTTCTCGCATAAGCACGCCGTGCGAAATACGCTCATACAATTTACTCAAATCCGTAAACAAAGAACCGCTTTCCATCGACGAAACAAAAACTAGAATAACTGAGTAAGTTGCGAAGCCATCCTGCACGTTCGCACTCCCTGTCTTTCGTGCCCCAGCAGAAGCTCGACTTGCGCATCATGTGCATCCGTTCCCACTCGATGGCCTGCCGTTGTCTCATCCTCGCCCAGACCCGCAAAAGAGAACAGATAAGAGCTATTGGACGTAGCCCCCCATCGGGTTTACCTATGAACACGATCAGCGTCGCCCACCTCAATGGTAAAATGGGGGACTCCTCCCAAATCATAAGCACATCAATTAGACGCACAAGGTACGAGTCGTCCAACAACATCCACGAGCCAGGGTTAACGCAATCGCAGCCCAATCCAAGATTGTGTTGAAAACGTCCCAAGGCCCAATTAAGTAGAGGCAGCTCCGGCCGGTCCAGGATGGCCCCCGACGCCTGGATGCGCTGCAGCTGGGAAATCGAAGACTTAGCATCCAGCCAATAAGCCTCCCACTCCTTCTGCAGAGCTGCTACTGCTGCATCTCCTTGAAGCGGATACCCAGATTTCCCCAGCGGTCCAACCACGGGCACATTGTCACGTGCATACGCATGGGCTGCGGCACCACCGTTCGAAACAGCGTTCTTGGCCCACCGAGTCCATCGCCTCCAGTGTTCCTGAGCAGCTTTACGAAGAACGTTCGTGCTGGTCGCCTGGATCCGGCTCAACACGTCCAAAAACTCTGTTCCCCCAGCAATCGCAACTTGATGCACAAATGCCAGCGTCAGCCCAGCCTCTTGGAACTCCGACCCAAATGCGTCATCTGACAGCGTCCCCAAGACATCGACGAGCCGCAACACCTCGGTAGGCGCCCCGCCCTCTCGGCGCGAGCCGTCCGTCGGGACCGCCCGACACAAGTCTTCACCATCTACGCCTAAACGTAAGCCTCCGGCCGCAAGCCACGCGGACTTCACCTTAGATAACGTAGAATACAGTTGTCGCCAAGCCCGGGACTGCGCCGTACAATGTGCACCCCACTGCCTCCGAATCGTCTCCGAGAGAGGGGCCGTCCATGTCGCAAGCCCCCTGCTCCTCCCGACGTACTGCTGCTGTCCCCTTCCTACGATATCTAATTGCCAGCAAAGCTCCAACTCCATGTTCGTCAGCCACTCCCCCCAAGCATCCTCCAGGCCTAGCTGACATGGAACTTCACCTGCCTCCCAACCCCAATCTACACGCAGTGGCTGCCGGTGGCAACCAATGTTCGGAGAAGTCGGAAAAGGCTTCCAACGCGCCCGTACCTGAACAGGAAGATCCATGCTAACGCCTTTGAGGACTAACTCAACAGGAGAATGTGGGGAAACTGGCGCCTCCGATAATACCCTGACGCTCTCCACACACGTGTCCAGCCCACGACTCACCAGGAAAAATTCGATCACCCGCGGAGGCCCGTTCGAAGGGTGGCAAGTCGGCTCCCTGGTCGCTACCACTGCGGCCCCCGTACCTGTACACCAATGCGCTAAGCCAGGATCGCCGGCAGCCATCTTGAAATCCCGCGTGATAATCCACGGAACGTCGAGGTGCTGCACAGAGGACCCCAGCTTCCGCAACAACGCCAAATTGTTCCTGGTGCACTCCTCCCCGTCGTAGCCATAAAGTGAAATAGCAATGATCCCACGTGGAACGACAGCAAGCGCACGGGTGGCAACAACACGCCCAGGAAATCCACGGCCTAAATATTCACGGAGATTGGGCACAGCACGCTGGTTCACGTAAGCGGCCGATCCCACCAAGACGCCTGAACTCACTGCGCACGCATGGCCCCCAGTGCGGACACCTGGAACAAGGCGAGCAGCAACTCCACGTTGCCGGAACCAGGCCCCAACTGACTGCACCTCCTGCTGGCTCCTTAGCTTAAGCTCCTGGCCAGCCCAAAGGTGGGGCCGCCCACCCATCGCCTCAACCTTAGATTGCTGGAGACGCCACTCAACAACATCCTGATATGAAGACCATGCATTGGCATTGCATGTAAAGATGCGCCAAGGCCGGCACTTTCGATCGGCCTTCGGAGGCCGAGTTCTCAGGGCCTGTGTCCGGTGATCTCCGCCGACAGGGTTACCCCAACCGTGGTTTCTTAAGTCCCGTCTTGGTGAGGGCCTCGGCAAAGCGGACCCGGGCGGCTGCCTGATCCGCAGCCCGATCCCAGGAGGCTGCACGCATGAGCTGATCGATCTCATCGGAACTCGGATCCGCATCGTCGTCCATAGCATCAGCAGCAGCAGCAGCAGAACGAGGGCTAGCAGGGACTGGTACCTCCCTGGCCATGGCTGGTGCAACGAATGCCTGCCGGACCTGGCCCTGCAGCATGGCCAACAAGTGGCGCCAGTCCTCGGAGCCCTGAACCTCGTCCAGCCACGCCTTAAATTCAGAAGTAAGCTCCTGACCAGGAGCAGGGGCGAACGAGAGGGACGGCTCGACCACTTTGCCTCCTCCTGCTCCCCCACATCCTCCGGCTGCTGCTGCCACTCCTTCTCCTCCAGCTGCTGCTGCCAGCTGCCGCTGCAAACTTTGCTTGGCCTCCTCCTCCAACTTCTGGACCTTGGCTGTCGCAGCCGTCGCATCCGCCAGAGCCTTAGCCCGCTCATCCTCCAAGGCCTTCTTGGCCTCCTCCACCTCTTGCTGCTTGGCCTCGGCCACCGAGGCAAGGCGAAACGCCGTCGCCTTAGCAGCAGTGAGGCGCTGAGTGATTCTGAGCGCCTGGGCCTCGGGCGGCTTGGACTCCAGCACCTCCTTGGCCAAGGCTGCCACCTTCGCATCAGCCACGGCGCGGTCCTCTTCGGAGACGGCGAAACGGCTGGCCTTCTTCCAGAAGTCCAACCTTGCCTGAAGATCATTGGTCGCCGAATTCGCCCCTTCGCCTCCCCCACCCCCGGTTCCGGATGCCGAAGGGGAGACCACTGACGGGGGAGATGCAATCCCCTTGGCGAGATCATCGACCTTCTTGGTGAGGGCGGCCAGGAGCTTTCCTGGGTCATTCCAGGCCCCTTTGGGCCCTTTAGGCCATTTGGGTGACTCAGTTTTTCTGCCCGCTGCCACCGCCTCCTCATGGGCCTTATTTGCAGCCGCCACCACTTTTTGGGGAGCCGAGGCCCCACACTTACATATAATGCGGCGTGCCCAATTGCCATCGCGATGGCACTGGCCGCACGACCACAACGGTTCTTTAGGCCCCAGGAGGACCACACGCTGCTTGCCACCAGCGCCGCCAGCCATGCCCCCGCGGGAGGCACGGTGCCAGCGAGTGTCGATCTCACCTCCTCCTCCTCCTCCTCCTCCTCCTCCTCCTCCTCCTCCTCCTCCTCCTCCTCCTCCCGCCTCCTCCTCCTCCTCCTCAACCTCCCTCCTCCTCCCGCCTCCTCCCGCCTCCTCCCGCCTCCTCCCGCCTCCTCCGCCTCTCCTCCTCCTCCTCCTCCTCCTCCTCCTCCTCCTCTCCTCCTCCCATCCCTCCTCCTCTCCTCCTCCTCCTCTCCTCCTCCCTACCTCCTCCTCTTCCTCCTCCTCTTCCTCCTCTCCTCCTCGCTCCTCCTCCTTCCTCCTCCTCCTTCCTTCTCCCTCTCTACCTCTTTTATGACTCTTCACTCTCTCCTCTCTCCCTATCATATATTCTCGTCTCCCCTCTTCTCTCTCTTCTCTCTCTCTCTCTCTCCTTCTCCCCTCCTTCTCTTCTTTCTCTCTCTCTCTCTCGCCTCTCGCTACTCTCTCTCTCTCCTCTCTCCTGCTCTCCTCTCTCCTCTCTCCTCTTCCTCTCTCCTCTCTCCTCTCTCCTCCCTCCTCCTCCTCTCCCTCCCTCACTCCTCCCCTCTCCCGTTCATCCTCCTTCTCTCCTCTCTGCCGCCTCCTCCTCCTCCGCCTCCCCTCCTCCTTCGTTCCCCTCCTACTACCTCTCACTCCTCAGCTACTCCTCCTACTCCTCTCCTCCTCCTCTCCTCCCCTCATCCCCTACTCCCCTCCTCGATCCTCTCCTCCTCCTCCTCTACCTCCTCTTCTCCTCCTCTCTCCTCCAATCCTCATCTTCCGCCTCAACTCCTCCTCCTCCATCTCCTCCTCCCCTCCTCCTCCTCCTCCTCCTCCCCTCCCCCCCCACCCACCCCACCTCCTCCTCCTCCTCCTCCTCCTCCTCCTCCTCCTCCTCCTCCTCCTCGGCAATTCTGGAGGGAGTGCTGTCGTAGTCTCGGTTGTAGGTCCTAATGTGCCGATGGTCCTGTCCACCTCCATCTCCGCGGCTGCCACATCATGGGGGCCCTAGCTACTAGCCATGGCGTGCACGCGCTGGCCCCACCAGCCCTTGCAACCGAGCCGAGACTTCCGCGTGATAGCTTCCGCCCTCTTGTTTGGCCAGACCGTTTGCTCTTGGGGCTGCCTTCACAACTCTTTCCGGGAGCCACCAGGAGTGAGGTGGAAACCATCGGGGTCACGAAGGGTTTCCGCGATTCTCAACTCTGGCGGCGACAAGACTCGCATGCAGGCCGCGAGTCTGTCTATCCCGGTGCCCGACTGTCGCAGGGCGTCTCGTAGGCGGCCCTGCAGCGGCGCAGGGGTGCGTCCTCGATCCCTGGCTGGCAGACGAAACACCACCCAGCCTGCGAGTACCAATCCAATGATGATGTTGAAGGCCCATACTGCCGCGTCTGCTACCCAGGCGCATGCCGCGTGAGGGAGCTGCTGACCCCAGGCCCCGGCTGCGTCCCTACGCAAAGCTATGCCAGGATCGCTTCCAATGCCGTTACAGCAGGCCGAGCCCCCCGGAAACCCTCCCGCCAGAAGGCCTCGTCCAGCCACCACGGGGGCATGCGCAGCATCCCAAGCCCTCCGCCTGGGGAGGAAGATCAGGAGGAGACCCACCTCTATATGAGAAAATAATCGCCGAGAGTATAATCGACGCAATGTCCCCACCTGCACGGGGCCACCGTTGCGCACCGTGGGCACCCCTGAAGCCGCTAGAGTGGCCAACACTATGACGATGCAGCGCGACTGCCCTTGGCAGTAATGAGTGTCACCAGGGCGGATTGGGACGGACCGATTGCGAATTCCAGATTTCACAATGAAGGGGTGGTGGTCTGACTTGGGGGGTCTGATTTGAGCTATCTTGGAGGTTCATCCTCCTCATCCTCTACCTCCACCTTTGCCCTCCCCCTCCCTCTTCCCCCTCCCCCCAGCGTGCTGAAGCACATGCGGCTCGAGGCCCATGCGGATCATTTCGCTTAGCGATGGACCCCAAGTAGCGTCCAGTGATTGCTCGACGCGATTGGGGGGCTCCGAATTCTGTCGCGGTTCGTTTGAAGTTGATGTCGGACGGCGAGACTCGACGAATGTGTCGGGCACAGCTACACGTCGGCCGACTTCCTGCCCATCTCCTCCTGGTGCGTTGCGCAGATGCTCGAGTTCTAGCAGGCTGGCCTGGGCACGTGCCGATCGGTGTCACGCATGACCTTCCTCTGGCAGGTCCTCGACCCGGCTGTTGTGTGTTTGTATGATGCACGACTGTGCCTGCGGGATATCCGTACGGGTGGTGCAGCAGTCCGGCGCTTACCCTTCTCCTCCTGCTGCGTGTGAAACTACTGCTGTTGCTTGCGGCGTGGGGACATTTCCATGATGTTGTTTCGCGCTCTTGCTACTCACCGCACGTGCGGGAAAGTTCCGAGGAGCATGAGGCGTGCCCAGCAAGGTGAAGATAGCTCCCGAGCTACGTCAAGTGCTCCAGCGGAAATGGCCACCCGCCCGTCGCCTGCGACAGACCAAAGATGGCCACATCTCCAGCACACCTCTTGCGCCGGCGGCTAGGCAGGGTATAACTGCGCTGGCGAAGGGCCAACTACATGGGGGCAGCGCTGTAGCGAACTTAGGGGGCCACATGTGAACCCTACCCCTACCCCCCGCGATTTTTCAGGGGAGGGTGGGGTTCACTCCGCTCGGGAGCTCCCGAACGAAGTGAACCCCACCCTCCCCTCGGAAATCGTGGGGGGCAGGTCCCCTCGGAAATCGTGGGGGGTAGGGGCAGGGCTCACATGTGGCCCCCTAGACCTGTGCCACCATGCAGGGAGAGGGGGACACACACACACACACACACACACAAAACCTAGGGCTCCCAACTTCGCGCTTCGCGCTGCGCGAAGCGCGAAGCGCGAATAACTTCGCGCTCTCGCGCCGCCCTCCCAGAAGGAGAATAGGAGGACGAGGAGGAGGGGGAGAAGGAACGAGGACCGCGAAGCGCGAAGCGCGAATAACTTCGCGCCCTCGAGGGAGCCCTTGCAAAACGGCCGAACGAGAGGGGGGAGGAGTGCGGAGCCGCTCCGGGGGCACCGGCCACGCCCCCGGCGCGTGGCGGGGCCGGCCTCGCCGGGGGGCCCGCGGCGGCTGCTGCACCAGGGGGCCCTGCGACGGCGGGGCGCGGTGCGGAGACGGGGACAGCCCAGCTGGTAAGGGTGCAATCGGTCAGCAGGATGCCACAATCTCTCACACACACACACACACACATCGAGCGCTGGCAATCCTCGAGGCCAGCGTGTTTGCAGTATGGCGGAGCTCGAGCGTGCGAGAGAGCAAATGACCACGGCAATGCCGACATGGAACAGCACGACCGGCATGTACAGGCGGTGTCTAAATTCGTGTCCTCGGCAGACGCGCGTGCCTCGAGAAGGCGCGATCCGCCGACCCAGTCTGGGAGGCCTAGGACCGTCGGCCCTGGTGGCGACGGTGCGCAACCTCTCCTGCTCCTCCTCCTCCCCCATCGTCCCCCTGCTCCTGCTCCTGCTCCTCCTCCTCCTCCTCCTCCTCCTCCTCCTCCTCCTCCTCCTCCTCCTCCTCCTCCTCCTCCTGCTCCTCCTCCCCCTTCTCTTCCTCCTCCTCCTCCTCCTCCTCCTCCTCCTCCCCTCTCCTCGTCCTCCCCCTCCTCCTCCCCCTCCCCCTCCTCCTCCCAGAAGAGCCCGCTCCTCGATCCCTGGAGGGCCCCGCCCACCGCCGCGCCCCGCCCCGTGCGCGGAGAGCCCCGTGCGCTCCTCGAGGAGGTGGTCCGTGCGCCGCTGCCTCGCCGCCTGCCAGGCGCAGCACGGGCGCCAGCGGGGGGGGGCGGAGGATGGCGCGGCTCGCGGCTCCGGGTGCGCCCTCGCCGCATCTCCGACGACACGGTGCGGCACAGTGGTCCTGGGTCGTTCGTTTTCCTCCACGCCGACGCCGCCGATGCATCGGCGATGCGGCGCGGTCCTCCGACCCAATGTGCTCGGCTCCCCACCTGGGAGGCATCCACTGTCCAAGGACTCCTTCTCCAATGCCCTCACAGCACGGCAGGTTCGCGCGGCGTCGGCGCGGCGGCGGCCCCAGCGCGGGCGTTCAAGGTTGGACGCCGCCAGTGGTCCTGGATCGTTCGATATCCAGCGGCCTGGCGGTTGGAAAGCCGCCGAGCCTTCCAGGCGGAACGGTCCACGCGGTGTCAGAAACCAACACCGAGGCCATCGCGACGTGAACCTACAGTGGGGGCGCGCATCAAGAAACCATCTGCTTTTCGTAAGGGTATCCTGTGTGTCTTCGCTTCTCGCGCTGCACGGTGATTTCCCACAGCCGCTGAAGGAGCTGCTGCGTTCGGGGTGCTCCAGGTTCCCTCTGGCGCACCCCGCGCACGGGTTGCGAGGGTTTCTTGCGGCCGCGCCCAGATCTCCGACGACGTGGTACGGTACAGTGCGGGCGCGGCCGCGAGATGCCCTCGCAAGAAACCCAGCCCTGGTTTCTCCCCTCCGGTGCACCCCGCGCACGGGCTCTCAGGGCTGGGTTTCTTGCGAGGGCATCTCGCGGCCGCGCCCGCACTGTACCGTACCACGTCGTCGGAGATCTGGGCGCGGCCGCAAGAAACCCTCGCAACCCGTGCGCGGGGTGCGCCAGAGGGAACCTGGAGCACCCCGAACGCAGCAGCTCCTTCAGCGGCTGTGGGAAATCACCGTGCAGCGCGAGAAGCGAAGACACACAGGATACCCTTACGAAAAGCAGATGGTTTCTTGATGCGCGCCCCCACTGTAGGTTCACGTCGCGATGGCCTCGGTGTTGGTTTCTGACACCGCGTGGACCGTTCCGCCTGGAAGGCTCGGCGGCTTTCCAACCGCCAGGCCGCTGGATATCGAACGATCCAGGACCACTGGCGGCGTCCAACCTTGAACGCCCGCGCTGGGGCCGCCGCCGCGCCGACGCCGCGCGAACCTGCCGTGCTGTGAGGGCTTTGGAGAAGG